ACAGTGCCAGGGGCTACCAGTTATCTCCTCATGGCTGAAGATGGAGACACTGTCATTGAAACCATGGTGGCCAGGTCCCCAGGCACAGTGTCAGGCCTGAAGGCTGCAACCCTGTACCAGGTCACTGTCAGATCCGTCAGTGCCACTGGGAGAAGCCAGGCATCCCCTCCAAAGCAGGCAAACACAGGTAGCTGATGCTCATCCTCTGCTGAGCGACTGTGACCTGAATCACTTACACTGAGGCTGTAAATACAGGGTGGTATTTTGTGTCACATGAGTACTTAAAATCAGGGCCCACAAGTGAAAGCTACAAACGATGTTTTTGGGGAATTCAGCTTTCTGTGGAGGAAGTAGTATTTAGATTCCAGATGCTTTGGAAAGTAAAACCCATTTCTGGGCATGTTTAAAATCATTCCTGCTTTCAAATCTCTGTAAAGGGGTCTTGTGTTTTTCACCCATATCCATAAAGACCGTGCTGAATGAAGAACTCATAAAAGGGATTTTTGCTACACTTAGATTTGTTTGAAATGAAAACATTTGCAGTTTGTCATCATCGTTACTTAATTTGATGAACTTGGACCCAGGCATATTTCTGAAAGGTTGTGTGCACATTAAAATAGTATAAGCCATCATTTCCCCCATTGATTTATATTATGATTACAGGGATATTTCATCTAATTTCTTACCAACCTCCAGTTGAAAGTAATGCCTAGTATTAGTTCCTCTGTTCCTATTCCTCTGATGAGTCATTTATAATTAATACACATTTAGACATCAATTATTTAGTGGAAATTTGCCGTGAATCCTTTTGCAATGCAAAATACTATTTCATAATATGGACAGTCAACCTCAAATCACTTATTCCTAAATCTGAATTATTCTCTATTGCACTTTCATAACACAAATGCATGTGTTTTTGTCTTTGTAGTGTTGGCTGCACCAATTCTAGAAGTAAGTTCTCCAAGTCCAGACTCTATTCTTGTGCAGTGGGAAGCTGTATATATGGCAGTTGGATTCTCTGTGTCCATTATGCAAGCCAATGGTTTGGGTAGAAGGTGGAAAGAGAATACCACAAACACCTCCTTGACATTCACCAGTTTAGATGCCGGGACTCTCTACACCATAAAGGCGTATGCGTGGAATGCGAATGGAACCCCAGGGGATGACTCCACTTGCGATCAGAGAACAAGTAAGGACTTCTCAGCTCAGCCCCAAACAATCTCCCTTTTGATTAATGGGAGAGGCTGTGCATTGTGGCCTTTAAGAGCAGTGTTAAGTGATGAGTACAGAACAACTGGCAGCAGATATTTAAATTCATTATGAGTTTATTTATAGGGCCTTGACTATTCCCCCTCAGAAGTTTAAATACTTGCCGCATATATAAGGAAATGGTGCTCAAAATACACAGAGCATGGCACCTACCCTTCTGATATCCAGCTTAGTTTCAGCATACACATTCAATATCACACAGTAGGAGTGTATTAGTTTCACCCTGTCCCTTCCTGGGTTCAGACTGATAGTATAAACCAAAAAATTGGGACCAACAGGAATTCATCTATTCAGTAGATATTTAATGAATGTGTGCCAACTTCGAACAGGCATTGTTCTAGAGATACAGCAGCAAACAAAACAACATTGCTGTTACGGTACTTTGTACTGGAGTAGGAATCATTATTTCAGATACATTTCCCAAAGGCCTCAGCTTAGGCCTAAAGCTCTAACATGGGGTTTCCCGTCGCCCCTCCTCCAGCTGGGGGCTGAGAAGCTGGAGCAAGGGGTGTGTTCCCTCACCGCCCCACTGCAGGGACCCCGGCCAGGGGATCCGACTATATGATAACCGGAGTCCCCAAAGGAGCTGCTGGAGTGATCCAAGAAGGAGAGAGAGGGAAGGACAAAGGTGTTTTCTCCTCTGGAGGCAGAATAAGCCACCCACTGACAAGTAGTATGGCTACTAGGTGCCAACTCTCATCAACTGAACTAGCCGTTTCATCCCTGGGGGAGCACCAAGGAAAGGGTGGAAAGAAATCAGAAATGTTCTCTCCAACATTTCCTAGATTTGGAGGGGAGTGAAAGCCCCACTGTCTTTGGGTCAAGGCAAAAGTTCAGGGAGAAGAGAAAAGTTTGCCTTTTACATTCCTCTGGGTGAAATCATAGCATGGTGGCCATAGGTGATTCATGATGGGCCCCATGAATCAGTATGTCTGTGACAGACCAGTTTCCCTGGACCTTTTCTTGGGATTCATTCATTCTTTCTTTCCACAAACATTTGTTGAGGTCCCACTATGTGCTGGGCATAGTTCAACTGGCAGGATACAAAATCAAAGAAAGCATTATCCCCACACTCACAAAGCTGACTGTGTTCTATGAGAAACCGATGGGGAAATCGATGGCTGCAGGTCTGTGCTACAAGTGCTTTGATAGAAGGGTGCCCAGACACAAAGTGTTACAGGAACACTTATTTAAAGCATAAACTCATTGTTTTGATATGTATACACTCATGGAGCCATAACCACAATGCAGATAATGAACATAGGCTTCATCCCCAAGAGTTTCCTCTTGCACTCTCAAAATCCCTCCTTCCCACCCTTTCCCATCCCCAGGCAACCATTGCTTTCTGTTGCGTATTTTGCATTTTCTAGAATTTTATATAATTGGATCAAATATTCTATATATACTTTTTTGGCCTGGCTTTTTTCATTCAGCATAATTATTTGGAGATTCATCCACACTGAGTGTTTCAAAATTTTGTTCCTTTTTTGCTGAGAAATATTTCATTTGTTTATCAGTTCACCTTTGTAGATGGACATTTGGTGTGCTTACAGTTTGGGGCTATTAAAAATAATGCTATGATGAATATTTGTACATATGTTTATGTATATATACTTGCATTTCTCTTGGGTAAATAACTAGGAGTGGAGTAATTGGGTCATACAAGAGGTGTATGTTTACCTTTTTAAAAAATAGCCAAATTGTTTTCTGGCTGTACCATTTTATGTTCTTACCAGGTATGAGATTACCAGTTGCTCTATATTCTTGCCAGCATTTGGTATAGTTGATCTTTCTAACTTAAGGCATCTAATAAGTAGGTAGTAGTATCTCCTTGTAGTTTTAATTTGCATTGTCCTAATGACTAAGAATGTTGAAGGTTTTCTCATACACTTATTTTCCATGTGTATATCGTTTGTGAAGTGTTTGTTCAAACCTTTTGCCTATTTTTTATTGAGTTACTTGTTTTCTTATTGTGTTTTGAGAGCATGTACATATATGCATACATGCATACATATTTAAAATTTTTTAATTACAGAAAGTTTTTGGATGAACTGCTATTTTAAATAACTGATTTGCAAATAGTTTCCCCCCATCTATGGTTGTCTTTTCTTTCTCTTAATAGTGCAAAAATCCTTGATTTTGAAGTCCAGTTTATCAATTTTTTAAATAGACCATGTTTTCAGTGTTGTATCTAAGAAATCTTCATCTAACTTAAAGTCACAAAGATTTTCTCCTATTTTTTTAGGAAGATTCATAGTTTTAGGTGTTACATTTGATCTATAATCTATTTTGAGTTAATTTTTATATATGGTGTGAGATATGGATCTAAGTTCATGTCTTTTACATATGTTTGTCCAGTTGTTCCATTATCATTTGTTGAAAAGACCATCCTTTCTTTACTGGATTGCTGTTGCACCTTTCTTGAAAATCAACTGTCTGTATATATGTGGGTCTGTTTTTTGACCATTTATTCTGTTGCATTGATTTATCTATCTTGATGCCAATCCTTGTAATGAATCCTGTATTAATTATTATAACTTCATAATAAGTCTTAAAGTCAGGGAGGTTAATCCAGTCCTTTTTACCTTATCTTGGTTGAAAGCAGAAGTCAGACTGATGGGTTTTAATCTCAACCATTTTAAATCCCAGCCAGTTTTAGTCCCACATTATTTACTAGCTGTGTGATTCCATACAAGTCAGGTAATAATGTTTATTGCTCATTTACATACTTGTTTACTGTTAGAGTTAAATATCATAGTGTTTAGATTAAATGCTAATTTAATTATTATTAAAAGTAGGAACTAAGAAGATGGCTCTGGAAATAAAAGGTACTGCAGGGTGGTATTGGGTTGGATGAATTTAATGTGCTCATCAAGGACTTCTCACTATCTTAGCACAAGGACACACTTTTGCCTGTTCTTTTTTTTTTTGATATATAATTGACATATAACCTGTAGGTTTGAGATGTACAATGTGTTGACATTTATGTATTGCAACTATAGTAGCATTAGCTAACACCTCTGTCACATCACATAATTATCATTTCTTTTTTGTGTTGAGGACAGTTAATATTTAGTCTCTTAGCAACTTTGAAGTTTATAATACAATATTGTTTACTATAATTACTATGTTGTAGATTAGATCTCTAGAACTTATTTATCTAATAGCTGTAAGTTTGTACTTTTAAACAAATCTCCCCGATTCCCTCACCCACCAAACCCCCTACACTTTCATCTTAGATACTGAAACTTTGCAGCAAATCACTCCCAACAGCAAGACTGATTGCTTTGTACTGAAACAAAATCAGCAAAGGTGAGAAAGAATAAGTAAAACTGGCCAGGATTCCCCCATTTAAAAATGATCATTCTACTATATCAACAATTTTCTAAGAGCTTTGTAAATTTTGTATGCAGAAAAAATTTTTTTAAAGAAAAGGAGAGCATTCTGCATATTACCTTGAAGCCCAGCTTTAGTAGCTTTTTGGCATGCTTGGTGTGGCTTTCTCCAACTTTCTCTTTTTCAGTCTTTGCAATGTCCATCCCTGCCAGTCTTCAAGTGCCCCTTGTTACAGGCCAGCTTCACAGTAAAGGGGAGGAGCTACTTCCCAGGGTCTGTTCCCAGCATCACAGCCCAGCCCCACAGCCCAGCGGCCAACAGTGCTGCCCTCCTGGGCACCAGAGGACCCTGCTCACCTGCTGTGTTATGTGAGTGTGAGTGCTGTATTAAACAGGATGTCTGGTGGACCCAAGAAATGCTTGTCTTTAATTGGATTCAGTCTCATCTGTCTTAAAATGGTGAGTTCACCATTCCAACTGATCTGTAACTTTTTAGGGGAAAAAAAAATATTATATTTATATTTTTTTGAGGGACTAGGGGGTGGTGAGATAAAAATCAAAATACCAGGATAGTATATGTTTGTGTATTTGAAATTTAATGTCATTTACTAGAGGATAAAAAACAAGATTATCATTATATTTCAAGAACAAAGATTTCTGAAAAATCTGTCAGCAGCTACTGACTTAGTTCAATAGACAGATTCAGGAAGAAAAATGAAATAGTAATGTGATCTGCCTCCAGCCTCTCAATTCTATTTTGGATTGCTTTGTGGTAGATTTGAGGGCTGGGAAATGATTTGTGCAAGTAAATACTCTGTATAGATTGAAATATTGCTCACATTATATATAAAAATATGACAAATTTATTACTGCTCTGATTTATGTTTTACATTTCCCCAAATGATGGTTTTATTTATAGTTCTAATTTTCTAAACTTTCCTTTTCAGATTGCTTCAGCAAAAAAAGGTAAAATTTCCTGAAAAGCAAGTTTTTCCTCCTCATATTAGATTTTGATTTCTATTATTAATTATTGGGCTACCCTGAAATATAAAGGCTTTCCCAAGAAAAATATTCAACATTTTCTGAGCATTCACACTATGAGTGTAACTGGTAAGGCAAATACATGGATCAAACTTAAAAGATAAGTTATTCTTATTGTACTGAGATGTATAGAGTCACCTAGTCATGTATTTTCTCAAATACAGTTACCCATTACTAAAGTATTACAATGATCAGTATTCCAGTCCAAGAAACAAAATTTTAGTCATAAATAGTGAAGTATAACTTACATAAATAACTTTTCTTATTTGTCTACTGGAGAATAGAGGAGAAAACTCAAAATGTTTTTGATTAAAATTTCAAGATTCTCTACATTAATAAAAAAGGATTTTACTCTTCTAATATTGTATTCTTAATATGCAAAGATAACTCAAAGCTGGAAAAAGACTTTCTTTTACAAATACTTTATCACCATTTTTATTGAATAAATGACTGAAGGCAAGGATAAATTCTCTGGAAACCTTTCCTAGCTCACACATTCTAGAAATCTAAGCCCTCAGAATGGAAATTTATGTTCAGTGAGATTTAGATTATCTGGAGGACCCATATAATATAAATTATATCACCAATAAACTCTCATAACAATTCAACATAAGTAACACTTTTTATTACTCTGTACCACAGAAAAGGAAGTGTAAATAAGGCAACTAAAAGTTTGATATAGACATATGGCTTATCCATAAAATCCATGCATATTCAATAGGTTTTAAAAATTATTATTCCTTGCTTTATTCTTATTCACTTATCTTATTCTTGAGAAACCTTATGATTGAGGGGAAGCTATGAGGATTGTTTGGCCATATACAAAATGACTTTTTCTAATAAGTGGCCTTTGAGTAGATAAAATCTAGCTCTACTGTCTCTTAGAAGGTCCCAGTACTCCCAAGACACACTGATCCCTCAGAACAGGCTCCCTTTAGGTCCCACGCTATCCACACTATTCAAGAGAAAGAGTTGGGCAGGCTGGGATACAGTGATGCTGTTAATTGATTCATCCCGGCTTTTCAATAGATGAGATGTGTTTTATCAATACTGTATAGGATCTTTCATTTGGGGTGTGTGTATTTGGTTCTCTTTGGGCTCTGGAATCAGCTCTTTCTTTATCTGTTTGGGGCCTGCATGGGCTAATTTAGAACTCTTTGAGTTGGTAGAATACAGAGATGCTGAGAATCAAAGGGTTTCACTTTTGACTGATGAGATTGATTGCACATCTAGGGAATAAAGTTTTCTCTTTCACCAATGCAGTAAATGAGCCAAACAGAACTAAGAAAGAATGGAGAACAGCTAATGTTTGGAGGCTTACACATCCCACTCAAGCGTCTCATCTGTTTAAGGGAAATAGTACAAAGGTGTTGATCTTTCATCGTTATTAGTGGTCAGATCCTGCCCTAGAACCAAGTAAAAAACCGGCAGTCTGTCTCTGTAGCCTGTGCTTACCCCAGACACCTTCCCTGGCACCCCTCCAGTGTCATGCCATCTGGCTTTTTCAAACACAAAATTGTTTTATCCTGGTACACACTAACACTTCCTGCCTTTCAAAGTGCCCTTACATACACTATTTCCCTTAATCTTTGTAACAATCCCAAAATGTAGGTATTTTACACGTTAAAGGAAATCCCAAAATGAAGGTATTATTAGTATTCCACATTCTTAAGGGAGAAAACTGAGATTAGAAGAGGTTAATTTATTTGTACACTTTTACCTGCAGAAGTAAATGGCAGAGCTAAGGCTCAAACCCAGAGTTCCTGAATCCAAACCTTTGCTCTTTTTCTGCCATGCAGCCCTGCGTTCCATCTGGTCAATGTGTCTCTCCCAGCTCAAAACCATGGGGCAGGTTTGGAGTCCTCAGGCCCCTTGACAGGCCTGTGGGAGATAGTCTATGTCATGCTGGTCTTTTAGATACCCTTCAAACAGCTCCATGAATGCGTGGAGCTCCCATGTCAGTGGCTAGTTTGGGTGTCATTTTTCCGGGAAGTCAGTCCATTCTGATGAGCAGGACTGGATAACAAAGGAAGTAAGAGAAACTGTGGAGACAAAGGAAACAGAGGAACTGAGGAAAACCAGAGTTAGAGGAAGGAAGGCATGTAACACAGGACAAAGAATTGGGGAAGGAGAAAAGGGATGAGTGTGTGGGAGGGATGGAAGTGGGAGCCCTGCTGGGGCTTTTTGTCCTGTGGTGGGAGAGGGCACATGGGCCCTTCCTGCAGAGTCAGCTTCTGCTGGCAAATGCCAAAGATAAACAGGCCTGCAACTTTTCCCTTGCATACATAACCATCATAGTTTTCTTTCAGTGGCAAAGGAGACAGCCCTGGGTGATGTTCAAGGAATGTCTGTCCAGTGCACAGTGGAAACTTTGTTCATCCTTGCAGCACGGTTATTTCTGAGATGCTGCCAGAGCCAAGTCTCAGGGCTATTGGTACAGAAAGACAGGGATTTGGCAGCTGGGGGCCTGCTGAGGGGAGGGAGTTGATAATGGCAAAGCACATATTTGGTCTGTATTTGCTCTTTCTCCTCCTTACCCTATAGTTTTGTTTTGACCGTTAGTTTTGAATTTGATATCTCATGATTTTTTCCCCCAGCAATTGCAGTACATTAAACATAAAAGGCTAAGTGCCAGTTTCAAGCCTAAAACCCAGCTATTTTTATTTGACCTTTTTCCCCACTTGAATTTCCTACACCCAGGGCATTTTTGTGTCTGACATTTTGCAGAGTAATAAATCTAATTACCATGCTGTTTTTCCTATGCCATACGCAAAGTACAGGAATGCCTTGTGTAAATTTGTGACGAAGCATTGATATACCCCTGGCAAGCCATGGCCAAGCCCAGGTGAGGAGGGAACACAGCATCTTCTTCTTATGCTGGGGCAGATGTGTTGATCAAAAATGGGAAAATAAAGTTTACTTTTTTTTTACATAGAAGAGTCTGAAATGGTTCCACTCTGATAATATGAAAGTACAATGAAGCAATTATAGAACAAAAGAACTCAATTATCTCCCTTCCTCCACCAGATTAAATGCCCCTTGGAAGAGTTCCAAGTGCAGGAGATGGAGGCCACAAGCCGCGTGGAGGGTGACTGAGCTGGACGCAGTGGAGCACAGCCGTGGGGCAGGGTGGGGAGATGAGTGCCAGAGCTGGCTGGGGGATTCACAGAATGCCCAATCAGAGCAGAAGCCTCAGGATTGAAGCCCCTCAGTTTCTCTCTCTCTCTCTCCTCTCAGAGTTCTTTCCTCAACTCACTCCCCACTCTTTTTTGAACTCTTTGAAAAATACAAAAAGTACAAATTGTCTGAGGGGCACCTGGGGAAAACCTCTTTGAAACCCCATTTCTAAACAAGAGGTTTGAGTGTTCTCTCTTCTGGAAAGTTGCTTTACCTTTCTTCTCTGCTGCTTTCTTGATCTGCAAAATAAGGGCAAAGTTTGTCTGAAGGATGGCATGAGAATGATCTCATTTGAAGAGTAAAATGATGAAAGAAGTCACCCTTATAGGTATCTTAGCTAATGTACAACTTCAAAATCTCTTTCAGCTCCTGAAATACCCACTATTGATCAGGCATATTCAAAACTCAGCAATAGCATCACTGTGGAATGGGGAACAGTGCCAGGGGCTACCAGTTATCTCCTCATGGCTGAAGATGGAGACACTGTCATTGAAACCATGGTGGCCAGGTCCCCAGGCACAGTGTCAGGCCTGAAGGCTGCAACCCTGTACCAGGTCACTGTCAGATCCGTCAGTGCCACTGGGAGAAGCCAGGCATCCCCTCCAAAGCAGGCAAACACAGGTAGCTGATGCTCATCCTCTGCTGAGCGACTGTGACCTGAATCACTTACACTGAGGCTGTAAATACAGGGTGGTATTTTGTGTCACATGAGTACTTAAAATCAGGGCCCACAAGTGAAAGCTACAAACGATGTTTTTGGGGAATTCAGCTTTCTGTGGAGGAAGTAGTATTTAGATTCCAGATGCTTTGGAAAGTAAAACCCATTTCTGGGCATGTTTAAAATCATTCCTGCTTTCAAATCTCTGTAAAGGGGTCTTGTGTTTTTCACCCATATCCATAAAGACCGTGCTGAATGAAGAACTCATAAAAGGGATTTTTGCTACACTTAGATTTGTTTGAAATGAAAACATTTGCAGTTTGTCATCATCGTTACTTAATTTGATGAACTTGGACCCAGGCATATTTCTGAAAGGTTGTGTGCACATTAAAATAGTATAAGCCATCATTTCCCCCATTGATTTATATTATGATTACAGGGATATTTCATCTAATTTCTTACCAACCTCCAGTTGAAAGTAATGCCTAGTATTAGTTCCTCTGTTCCTATTCCTCTGATGAGTCATTTATAATTAATACACATTTAGACATCAATTATTTAGTGGAAATTTGCCGTGAATCCTTTTGCAATGCAAAATACTATTTCATAATATGGACAGTCAACCTCAAATCACTTATTCCTAAATCTGAATTATTCTCTATTGCACTTTCATAACACAAATGCATGTGTTTTTGTCTTTGTAGTGTTGGCTGCACCAATTCTAGAAGTAAGTTCTCCAAGTCCAGACTCTATTCTTGTGCAGTGGGAAGCTGTATATATGGCAGTTGGATTCTCTGTGTCCATTATGCAAGCCAATGGTTTGGGTAGAAGGTGGAAAGAGAATACCACAAACACCTCCTTGACATTCACCAGTTTAGATGCCGGGACTCTCTACACCATAAAGGCGTATGCGTGGAATGCGAATGGAACCCCAGGGGATGACTCCACTTGCGATCAGAGAACAAGTAAGGACTTCTCAGCTCAGCCCCAAACAATCTCCCTTTTGATTAATGGGAGAGGCTGTGCATTGTGGCCTTTAAGAGCAGTGTTAAGTGATGAGTACAGAACAACTGGCAGCAGATATTTAAATTCATTATGAGTTTATTTATAGGGCCTTGACTATTCCCCCTCAGAAGTTTAAATACTTGCCGCATATATAAGGAAATGGTGCTCAAAATACACAGAGCATGGCACCTACCCTTCTGATATCCAGCTTAGTTTCAGCATACACATCCAATATCACACAGTAGGAGTGTATTAGTTTCACCCTGTCCCTTCCTGGGTTCAGACTGATAGTATAAACCAAAAAATTGGGACCAACAGGAATTCATCTATTCAGTAGATATTTAATGAATGTGTGCCAACTTCGAACAGGCATTGTTCTAGAGATACAGCAGCAAACAAAACAACATTGCTGTTACGGTACTTTGTACTGGAGTAGGAATCATTATTTCAGATACATTTCCCAAAGGCCTCAGCTTAGGCCTAAAGCTCTAACATGGGGTTTCCCGTCGCCCCTCCTCCAGCTGGGGGCTGAGAAGCTGGAGCAAGGGGTGTGTTCCCTCACCGCCCCACTGCAGGGACCCCGGCCAGGGGATCCGACTATATGATAACCGGAGTCCCCAAAGGAGCTGCTGGAGTGATCCAAGAAGGAGAGAGAGGGAAGGACAAAGGTGTTTTCTCCTCTGGAGGCAGAATAAGCCACCCACTGACAAGTAGTATGGCTACTAGGTGCCAACTCTCATCAACTGAACTAGCCGTTTCATCCCTGGGGGAGCACCAAGGAAAGGGTGGAAAGAAATCAGAAATGTTCTCTCCAACATTTCCTAGATTTGGAGGGGAGTGAAAGCCCCACTGTCTTTGGGTCAAGGCAAAAGTTCAGGGAGAAGAGAAAAGTTTGCCTTTTACATTCCTCTGGGTGAAATCATAGCATGGTGGCCATAGGTGATTCATGATGGGCCCCATGAATCAGTATGTCTGTGACAGACCAGTTTCCCTGGACCTTTTCTTGGGATTCATTCATTCTTTCTTTCCACAAACATTTGTTGAGGTCCCACTATGTGCTGGGCATAGTTCAACTGGCAGGATACAAAATCAAAGAAAGCATGATCCCCACACTCACAAAGCTGACTGTGTTCTATGAGAAACCGATGGGGAAATCGATGGCTGCAGGTCTGTGCTACAAGTGCTTTGATAGAAGGGTGCCCAGACACAAAGTGTTACAGGAACACCTACAGCAGGCTGGGAACAGAGAATCAGCTCCAGAAGTGACTGTTTTCTGAAAGCCTTCCACTTTGTTTCCTATATCTTAAAAAGTTTTGAAGAGTTTAGATTTAGCCTCTATACCGGCTTGCTAGGGCCGCCATAACAAAGTACCGCAAACCAGGAGGCTTGAACACCAGAAATGTGTTGCCTCGTGGTTTTGGAGCAAGAAGTCTGAAATCAAGGTGTTGGCGGGGTTGGTTCCTTGTGAGGCTGCGGGGGAAGGATCTGCCGCAGGCCTTTCTCCTTGGCTTGTACATGGCTTTCCTCTCCCCTAATGTATATGCCTGGGTTCTAATTTCCTCTCTGTGTAAAGACTGGATTCGAGCCCACCCTACTGACTTCATTTTAACTAATTACATCCGCTGCCACCCTATTCTAAGTAAGATCACATTCTAAGGTACTAAGCATTAGGACTTCAACATAGGAATTTAGAGGGGACTCAGGTCCAACCCCAAACAGCTCCCCACTACTCCAGGTTTTCCCATTGCCCCATGAGGGACAAGCAGGTTGTCCTAAAATATAGCAGACTACCCTTAGCAGCCTTGGGCCAAGAATTACCTCAGAGCAGATCTGCCTCTGCAGACAAGCTGACCGTGAAGCCGGGGAAGGCTCCTGTTGAGACGGCTTACTGGAGAAATATGGCAGGCACCTGCCTTGCAGAGGATGAGTTGAGTCCCTGGTTTCCTCAAACAGCGCCTTCCCTGTTTTCCCCCACGTGTGTCTGGTGGGTGCTAGTGTGTGCTCATAGGTTGCCTACACAGATCTTTAAGGCCTGCAGGGTGAGCTTTATTATAGAAGATTCCAGAGAACTGAGGCCAACTTCTCTCTGTTCCGGCCCAGGAGGACACTCCTCAAGCTTTTTGAAAACAATAATCCTTAAAATAAGAAGGCATATTTCTAAGAATGTAGAAAGAAGCATTTGGAGACACTAAAAAGACTACCTTAATGTGTGATCACACTTGATACTTTCCTTGCTTCCCTTTTTTAGAATAGAATGAAAGTCTTCCCTTAGAAATAATTATGACCTCAAAGTTCTTACAGAAAAAGGCTTAGCAGATGTCAAAAGTGAAGAAGGGATATTATGAAGCTAATTTTTTAGAGAAAGTATTTACCTACCATTTAAAGATAACTACCCACATGGCCCTTTAAGCCTTTCACATTTACTTATCTCAGTCACTTGTCAGGTTGTGCATTCACTCACTCATTCATTCATTCATTCATTCAAAATGTGCTTATGTAGCATCAATGTGTGCTAAGGATTGATCTTATCAGGTCCATTTTAAGATGAGAAAAAGATTAAGTAACATGGTCACATAGCTAGTTATGAATTTGCATAATTAGTGGCAGATGTGTTATCAGCTTTCAGGTACCCTACATCCCAATTTTATGCTCTCAACACCTGTAATTATCCTACTATTAGGGCACCTTGTCCTCCAAGTTCCACATTGTTAGGCCAAATTTTATTTGGGTTCTTGAGCCTACTACAAAATCTTAATTGTTCCTCAAAAATGTAGGTCCTCGTGCTCCTGCCAACATTCAAGTCTTTTTTGATATCGGGGCTCTGAAGGCATCTGTTTCATGGGCACTGACAGAAGGAGCTTTCAACTATACTGTGATGGCTTTCAGTGACTCTTCAGAACTGAGCTGTAATACAACTTCCAGTTCCTGTACCATCTCCTCTCTCCAGTGTGGAACTGAGTATTTGATTTCAGTTTTAGCAAGTAACGATGCTGGATCAAGCAAATCAGCTTCAACAGTGACCCTGAAAACTGGTATGTAAACAAGAGTGAGAGCACTGTGGGGCTGGCAAGCCAAAGTAACTGCCATAAGGGAAACAAACAATCACCCAACAATGTTCCAGAACACTCTGGGTGAAATGAAAATGAAAACCTGGTCTAAGTGAAAGTATTAAATTAGACATTCTGATGAATTTGAATTATGTTAATAGAGAACCCAGATATTGTGCTTTGGGAAAAGCTCTTCTTCGAAAATTAGGAGGCCTGCCTGGCTCCTAGACCAGATATTTCACTAATTAGTTCATTTTCTTTGTAAAAATTCTAAGATTCAGTTTGAGTTATATATAGCCTAACTGTGCAGTACAGATAACAGCCTCTTCTTTCGTTATGTTTCACAGACCTAGGGCTTGGTGGGAGCTATTTTTTAAGATAAAGATGGAATATCTATAGCTTAGAATTTGTGTTTAGGTGTCTTCCCATTTTCATTCTTAAGAGAGATAAAGACTTAACACATGTGGAAATTTACTCCTTTATTAGAAATATCTCTGTTTTGGTGATGAGAACTAGCATTTGGTGAAAACCTACTACGTTCCAGGCACTGTAAGTACATCATTTTAAATAATTCTCGTGACAACTCAGTAGGTTGTCCTTTATCAAATATGAAAATTTTAGCCCAGAGAAGTGAAATCATTTTTCAAAGGGCACTCCAAAAATAAGTGGTAGGGCTGGGATTCAAGCCCAAGTTTGCCTGATTTTACTCCTCAAAGCCAAAGCAAAGCCAAAGCAAATGTAGATATTACAATAATGTCCACTTTATCAAACAGTCAGAATTACATCATTCTAACTTTAAAAGACAGAGAGGAAAAGAGGCATCACCAAATTGATGCACTCTTTCACAGGAAAAAAGTGCAGCCAACCCGAGAGCCACAGTTTCTTAGGTTATGTTAAATTAAGGTCACTAACAACACACTTAGTGTCTCACTTGAAGGTTTCTGCCCCAGGCAAGTTCACTATGGTTTGATGAGACTGAGAAATGGCAACAGAATGTTCTTTGGGTAAAAGGGTTTATACCCGGCTTTAATCTCACTGGGGCTGGTAGAACACTAGAATCACATCTGCACCCAGCAGTCTGCAGGCCTGTAATCCACCCCCATCTCCGCCTCTGCCCAGAGTACTGGGCAGAGCTCTTTATATGGTGACTCAATCAGTAACAGCTCATTGCCTAC